GGGTTCCGGTTCTCTGTTTCTGGTTTGGCTTCATTTGTCATGGCCACACTTGGACTCGGTCTCGGGTTCCGATTCTCCATTTCTGGTTTGGCTTCATTTGTCTTGGCCACACCTGGACTCGATCTCGGGTTCCGGTTCTTTGTTTCTGGTTTGGCTTCATTTGTCTTGGCCACACTTGGACTCGATCTCGGGTTCCGGCTCTCTGCTTTCTGTTCGGCTTCATTTGTCTTCGCCACAGTAGAACTCGATCTCGGGTTTCGGTTCTCTGCTTCCGGTTTGGCTTCATTTGTATTGACCACACTGGAATTCGATCTCGGGTAGCGGTTCTCTGTTTCCGGTTCGGCTTTGTTTGCCTTGGCCCCACTAGAACTCGTGACCGCAGATGAATTCACTTCGAAATGAACGGAATTCCCAATGTCGTGAATATCCAGAGTGGGACCGTTCGGGGTTTGGGCAGATGACATGTTTGTTGTTTCTGTTCCAACACCGATTCTGGCGGCAAGCTGAAGAGCCCGTTCACCTACGTGACTCAAACCTGTAACTTCTTCCGGGTTGTACCTAGCAAGTCTTTTAGAGAACTTACTCGGTGTGCTAAGGCAATTTTTCTTTTTGGATTTCGTCGAATTGGATTCGGGCACAGTGGCGCTACCCGAAACAGTGACTCCTGCCTCTCCATCTCCATCGGGTGAATTATTCTGACCCATTTCCTTATCGGAGGAAGAAGCTGAAAGGAGGGAAGCCTACACAGTGAAGCAAAAGCAACAAAGGGAACATTATGTTAACGAACAAATTCAATAAAAAAAACTTCGAATTCTGGTCGTAGGCTCAAAAAAGGTTTCACACTATGAAAGAATAGAACCGTAAGCGATGTAATGAATGGTTAGGACATTCTGTGAATAGAAGACTCACAGTTTCGTTATTGGTTCGGGACACAATGCCCCTTTTCTGGGGCCTCTTTACACACTTGTTGATATCACCTGTTTCTACATAGCGCATAACATCCTTTTTGGAACTAAAAACATATCCGCTTACAGGGTCTACGTAAAGCTGTTACATGAAGACACGGTTTTATGGAAAATCCTTAACAAATGAAGAAGAAGAAGAAGAAGAAGATGATGATGATGATGATGATGATGATGATGATGAAAATGATGATGATGATGATGATTATGATAACTACACTATATCAATTCAAATTTATGGTTCTACCTATCAAGAACAGCACACCAAGTAAAATCCAAGAGACCCTCGACATGATTCTGCCTATTCTACAATACTCCCTCCGTCCCGAAACTAATGTCCTTACTTTCCAAAATGGACATCCCAAACCCAAAGTCCTAAATTTGGATATTTCCTATCAACCAAAATACCCCAAATTTTAACTCAAATTTTCCATCTTTTCAATCACTTTTTCCATATTCTCTCGTTTTAAGTCAATTTTTCTATATCCTCGCCTATTTCACTAAACTTTTCCATCTTTTCAATCACTTTTCCCACTCTCTCCCCTTTTCCCATCAAGGGCATTTTGGTAAAGTCATTACACATTTTAACTTGCCTTAAAACCCATGAAGTCAAACTAGGATGTTAGTTCCGAGACAGGGCGTACAAAAGTGGTATAATGATCAAGATGGTTGGGAGAATCTTGTTTGAATTAGAATCTTCATGTGATCAGTTCACTGGAATCCTTTTTTATGACCCAATTCTACATACAATTCTATCATAAGTTGCACAGAGACGGGGACAAGAGCACAGAAACAATAACTTTTTCAAATTTTACAAAACATGTGTGTGACAGAATGTCCCTAAGTACCCAAACTAGAACATTTTGAGGATGAGGTGCGACACTTGTTTGAAGAAAAAACCGTGCAACATAGCCAATAAATGATTCTTAAAATTAAGTACAGAGACATAAGTTATGTAACTTATGTTTACTTTTACTTTTTTTTAATTACTATAATATGTCTGAATTTACTATATAAGTGATTCTTCACTGCATTCCAGTTATGATTTGTAAATTTTGAACTCATAGTAAAAATATTTATTGCAGTAAACTTACAATCGTATAAATCTCAACACTCTACTTTAAATCTTAGGGGTGTATAATTACTACATTAAGTAATAAGTTAATTTGTAGAATCTTTGTATCCTACGGTCCGATGTTAGAATCCAGATTATAATAAGTTAATAGCCTTGTGTATGTTGATGTATGGAGAATCGTATTTTCAGAAAAACAATAAGCCTAGTTTAGTAATATTATATTGTTTTAGCTTCGAGTAAATAATGAACTAAACAAAAATGGCACATTGAACTTTCCTTTGCTTCATTACTTCATACTCCGCATGTGGTTTTGAGCAATAAATGCAGCAATACATAAAGAGCCAAGACCGCCTCTTGGGTTCTATATGGGGTAAAGTTGAGGGTAAAATCTTAAGTAGACCTCAGAAGTCAGGTCCACCTATGTATACATGGACCTTCTTACAACAACATTACCCCAGTGCCTCAAAGGCTCCCACCCATTACGACCCCCCCCCCCCCCAGTCTACATGCGTTGGGATACAAATTTTCTATCAGTGGTTGTTTCCGGATGACCCAATACATGGACCTTCTTAACAGCTAAGTATTTTCATAATGTTATGGTAAGCATTCATTTAGTTTATTTTTTATTTTAATTTGCTCAAGTGAAAAGATGTATGCATTGTTATATGGAACATAAGGTTCATAGTAGAAGCACTCAAAGTTGAGCACTTCTAGACCCCAATACTCTTGTCCTCGCATTTTCTTTTCTTTCTACTTTTTTTTTCTTTTCCTCTCTAACAAAACAAGAAAAATTCTTTTTCATTTTCTTTTTGTTTCCCTTTCAAAATCTTTAAACCAAACATAGTGTAAAGGATGAGATTTTTTTTAATAACATGTTTTAGTATCAGATATCTGGTACTTCCTCTTGTCTCGTAATTTTATTCTTGTTTTCCTATTTGGTTGTCCCAAAGGTTTGTTCCACTTTCTTTACTCATGGAAAGATTTTGTGGCTCATATTATTTTCCTTTTAAGCAAATTTCAACCATAAAATTTCCACTTCATTAAATATGAGTCAATTCAAACCAAAAACAGAACTATGGGACAAAGGGAGTACTTTATTACTCCGTCCCACAAAGAACTTCAAACTTTCCTTATTTGAATATCCAAAAAAGAACTTCACACTTCTACTTTTTTTTCTTCAAAGGTAAGGATTATGTGGCCAAGAAAACATATCTTTTAAACAAATTCCATTCACAAACTTTTCACGTTCAACATTTTTCTTGAACTCTAAAGTCAAAAAGAAGCTTTTTGTGGGACAGAGATAGTATTCAACAGCACGTGCCAGTGTGCGCATGTTGTGTAAATAGAAAATATGATAAAGAAAAAGGGAACACACCGCATCACGTCTTATTCTAGACCCGTGTCTTGTTGTTTTGATTTCCTTAACCCAACCTGGTGGTATCCCGTCCTCAAGATTGCCTTCAACCGAGACCTATGGATGTAATTTTCAAATAAGAAATTCTGATAATTAGAAAAAATTCATGTCAATAATTCCAAACATTTGAGATTCGACGAGAATACTCCAAAATTACAAAACATCACCCGCAAGAAATTTAACACTTTTACCATAATACTCCAAAATCCCATAATGATCACAAATTCACCTAAAAAATTGGGGATCCATGAAAAATAAAAATTCTTTTGGAGTATTGTTGTAAAAATACTCAATTTCTGACAGCACATGTAATAATTATATAAGAGTACTCTGGTAAAATCTCATATTAATTGGAGCATTGACATGAATTTTTCCTTATTATTTTTGAATAGAATAGCAATATAAATTCATTCAAAGGCATCTTACAGAAGAAACAATATTGGATGGTTGCTTGCCCCTGCCATCAGTTATCTGCTTTATAGAGGCCTCCTCACCCTCACTGTTAGTAGGTTTCTCACTTTGAGACACACCATCACCAGATGATTCTTTTATCTCGTGCTAAAACATGTTATTAAATAAATAATTATAATAATTGTTATAATAAACATATTTTAATGCATAAATAAAAGTGTGAATTTCACAAATGGTGATATTCTATATTAGTACACTATTTTAAGATTTTTCATTGGAAGGTCCCTTTAGTTGCGAACGTTGCCGATTTTAGTCTTCTCATCAAAGGTCCTCAAAATAATACAATAACAAAAGACTAAAAGTAGCATTGTTCCACATTTTTAAGGACCTTAGTTGGTATTTAATGCCATAGAAGACTAAAACCGAAATATTCACAATTAATGTGGACCTCTAATGAAATTTTGTTAACTAGTGGACTGTATGTTGAATAATCTTGACTATAGAGGATCATTTATGAAACTTACTCTAAATAAATTCATCCACTAAAAAGTTTTGAGAGATGATTTGAGTATGTAAGCTATTTTTGTGGGACCCTTAACTTTATATTCAGATGCATGCTTAGCAAACTTCTAATCAAAGTAATCAAAGATTCGGCCATTCAGAAAATAGAAGACTCGCAGATTGGTTGTTGGTTCGAGACACGAAGTCCCTATTCTTCAGATTTATGACACACTTTTCAGTATCGCCTGTTTGTACATAACGCATCACATCCCTTTTGGATTGAGAAACATATCCGCTCACAGGGTCTACATAATGCTGTTATATCAAGACTATCCTTTCCAAATGATGAAGATGAAGAAGAGGAAGATGATGGTAACTCTTAAGTCGATGAGTCGGTGTGATATATAGCCAGATGTACTAATGTTTATTGGGCATCCATCATATGCAAATTTACGAGTTACACAATGCTCATTTTGTACATTTTATTTGCACGATGTAGCATTGATGTAGGCACATTTGATAATTACATAATGTTCATCTCATTTTTCCAGGAGTCGTTCATTTTATTTGCTTGTCCGTAAATGCAGCAAGAACAACGGCACTCAACACCCACACCGACTAAAGTTCTTTTTTCTAATTATTCATGTGACAATATAAATGATTTCTCACGCAATCGCCATATAACAATGGATCTGAAGAAGATGGAAGACAAGAATTTGGGATGAGACTAGGCTAGGTTTTGTTGCATAGAATCTCCTATTTTTTTATAGTTTTAACGCTTAGGTTTCATTTTGGGTTTAAGAAAAAGAACTATATACTCCCATCCAAAATGAGGTTCTAATGTGACTTTTTACGGTCTCCCATGTGACACTTAGACCTTAACATCTAATTATCTATATTTATGTGTAAATAAATTTTATAAAAATATGATATTTGAAAATTACATTTTAAGACAAATCAAATGATATTAAATTTACATTACTACATATATTCGTTTTCAAATTTTATGGTCAAAGTTTTCAATTCTGACCCCAAAAGGTCAAATATGAACCTTTTTAGGGATAGATGGAGTATGTTAGAATTCTAGGGGTGGAGGGTATACACACTTTGTATACTTTCCTTACTGCATCATCCCTCTCCTCCACATCAGCGCCACATCAAATTTCACAAATTTCATATTTTTCTTACTACAACTGTTTTAAAGAAAAGAACCATTTACTATTTTAAAGAAAGAACCATTTTTAAACTCATAATACTAATTAATTTTTAAAAAATACAAATTATAAATATCTAATTAAAAAGGTAACATCACGATAAGTAGCAAGGTTATGACGATTCATCACAGATTCGTTATCATCTTTAGAACTTGATGAACTTGACGGTAGTTGAAAAAGATCCATTTATTTTTTTAGAGAGATTAAAAATTAGATCTTTGAGAGAGTAAGGTTTTAAAAATGGGGGTGATTTAAATAAATAATTAAATGGGTTTGAAACTTGTAATGATTAATTGTAAATGGTAATATTACCGTTAAATGAAGGGAGAGTCGTCCAGTAGTAAACTTACATTATTATTTGAGTCGTCCGTTAAATTATGTCAAAATGCCACATCACCTTATTTTGGTACCAAATTGGTTTTACCGTGTCCGTACCGTGGGCTCTAAGAGTGTTTATATATGGAATAATAATGAAATCTTGGAGTATTTTTGAAAAATCTAGAATTTATGGGAGTATTAACATGAATCTTTCCTTATTATTACTCCGTATTATTGAATCAAATAGACATATAATTAATTCCTGTTCCATTAGATATCTGCTTTATGGAGGCCTCTTCGCCCTGAGTGTTGGTAGGTTTCTCATTTTGAGACACTTCATTACCAGATATCTCATGCTAAAACATGTTATTTAAAAAAATACTTATAATAATTATTAGAATAAAAATATTTTACTGAATAAATGAAAGAGTATATTTCCCAAATGGTGATATTCTCTATATTTAGTACACTGCTTTGAGAATTTTCATGGGAAAGCCCCTTTAATTGCGAGCATTGCCAATTTTAGTCCTTTTCTCATCAAATGTCCTCAAGATGATACGATAACAAAAAAAACAAAAGTAGCATTGATCCACATTTTTATGAACCTTAGTTGGTATTTAATGGCATAGAAGACTAAAACCGAAATATTCGCAATTAAGTGGACCTCTAATGAATTTTTGTTAAGTAATAAACTTGATTATCGAAGATCACTAATGAAATTTACTGTAAATAAAATTATCCACCAAAAAAATTGAGAGGCGGTTCGATTACACAAGCTATTTTTGTGGGACCCTCAACATTATATCCAGATGCATGCTTAGCAAAATTATAGTTATAGTAATAAATGTTTTGGCCATTCAGAAAATAGTAGAAGACTCACAGATTGGTTGTTAGTTCCAGACATGGAGTCCCTTTTCTTGGGCCTTACTGCACACTTTTCGATATCGCCTGTTTGGACATAGCGCATCACATCCTTTTTGGATCGAAAAACATATCCGCTAACAGGGTCTACATAATGCTGTTAAATCAAGACTTTCATCAACTTTTAATAAAATGTTTACCAAATGATGAAGAAAAAGAGTAAGATGATGATAACTCTAGATTCCATGTATCATAAAGCAGAATGTACAAAAGCTTATTGTGCATCCGATATATGCATATTTACGAGTTACACAATGCTCATTTCGTAGGATTGATGTATGCATGTTTGATAATTACATAATGTTCATCTCATTTTTTCCAGGTAGATGTATGCATGTTTGATAATTACATAATGTTCATCTCATTTATTCCAGGAATCATACATCTTTGCTTGTCCCCAAATACAGCAAAAACGGCGGTACTCAACTCTCACTACCGACACTACGATTGAAGTATTTTTTTAATTTCTCTGACAATAGTCTGATTTCTCAAGCAATAACTATATAACGGATTTGAAGAGAATTATGGAGGAGAGGAATTTGGAATTATACTAGACTAGGTTTTGCTGTTCATAGAATTTCCAGTTTTTAATAGTTTTAAGGCTTAGGTTTCATATTGGATTTAGGCCAAATAAGGTTCTCATCAGACTTTCCAGGGTCTCCAATGTGACATTTTGACTATCAATATATATATTTATATGTAAAAAAATTTATAAAAATATGATAAATCAAAATTAGATTTCAAGACAAATCAAGTGATATTAAATTTACATTATTATTCCAGAACCCCTTTTCAAATTTTGGGGTCAAAGTTTCTAAGTTCTGACTCCAGAAAGTCAAATGAGAGCTTTTTCTGGGAAGGGGGGATGTAATAGTTCTAAAAGCCTTTAGTCTTTACTCTTAAGAAATTATGAAGCTGTAAGTTAATATTCAAATAAATAATAGTTCACCCGTCCCAAAAAGGCTCATTTTGACTAAACACAATGTTTAAGAAGAGTGTTGCAGTTGGAATTGATTTGAAAGAAAGGGAAAAAATGATGGCCACATACTCCTTACTCCTTACCAGAAAAGGAAATAGACTTTTATTTCAGAACATGCCAAAAAGAAAAGTTTGTTCTTGTTTTGAGATGGAGGGAGTAATAGTAATTTATCGTTCAACAGCATAAGTGTGTGTGTGTGTGTGTTGTGCTGTGTAAATAGAAAGTGTGGTAAAAGAAGATGGGAACATACGGAGTAACGTCGTATTCCATAAGCATGTACTCTTGTTTTGATTTCCGTAACCCACCCGGGTGGTATCTCGCCCACTAAATTGCCTTCAACCGAAACCTATAGATGTAACTTTACAAATAAGAAAATATTATTACTATTGCACTAAACAGCTATACAAGTATTTTTTTAGGCATCTTACAGATGAAACAACATTGGAAGGTTGCTTGCCCGTGCCATCAGATATCTGCTTTACGGAGGCATCCTCGCCTTCAGATATCTGCATTATGGAGCCCTCCTCATCCTCACTGTTGGTAGATTTCTCATTTTGAGACACTTCATTATCAGATGATTCTTGTATCTTATGCTAAAACATGTTATTAAGCAACAATATTAATAATTCTGATGATGATAATAATAATAATAAAATAATTATACCGTACTAAGAATATCAAGTCATATTTCTAGATGATGAATTGTGGTCATTTAGTTGCCACACTGTTTACTCCACTGCTGAATTGGCTAATAATAAAACAAGTACAAAAGCGAGGTAGTTTTTTGGATGAAATTGTCGAAGATGATCATTTTCACCTTTTTTTCACATGTATTTTTCTTTATCTTATCAATAAACACTCCATCTTTTGTGAAATAAACTTTGTGGTTTGACTCAAGGATAAGAAAAGTGTTTAAAAGAAAAAAGGTGTAGGGTTGGAATTTGTTACTTCAAGGTTTGATCGTTAAAGAAAAGTGTTGAAAAGAAAAAAGTGTATGTTTGGAATCAGTTAAGAGGTGAAAGAAAGATAGTGCGCCAGATATTATTTACCTATTATATGCCTAAATGGGAAAGAGGAAAGAGTGAAGTTTATTTTGGGACGAGGTAGTATATGATAGGTATTTTTTTCATAATCCAGCAAATTCATCAAAACACTAACCTTGGTTTTAGCAACTTCAACCATTTAAGCATAATTTGCGACTAACAAACAGCCTCGAAAATGCCTTCTTAAAGATGACCTTCACTTATTTATTTTCCTTACGATTTACATGACTTTTTGATGAAAAATTCATCTCTGGGTTTCACTATTTTGTCATTTTATTCCATTTTTTGTGTGATTTATGTGGGTCAAATACATTCCAAATTTAAAGTCAACCATGCAATTAAACTTTTACTAAAGTTGTGTGACACTCCCATGTCCCAAAATATTAGAAGGGATGGAGTATATATCGAATCATAATGGCATGAAATATGGAAATTCTAGTTAATATTTGTGTTTATGAAACTGACCGTTGTCAAAGGAAAGTAAAAAATTGTCCCAACACTTAGTCGAAGTAAGTGTAAAATATAAAGAGAATGGTTTCTGTCCACCAAAAGCTATACACCAATTTGTATACACCGCACACATACACAATTTTTTTTGTTCTAACATACACATTTTGTATAATTGTATGTGCACGCACATTTGTGTGAATAAAAAAAATGGTTAACTACGTGTTGCGCAGGGCTAGCCCACCAAAAATATAGGGCTCCAAAATTTATTTTTATGATTCTTAATTTTAATATAAACGTAGTTTCTATAAATTTTATGTTGAAATAAATTATGCCAACACTTCCAGAAATATGTCATACTGTTATGTACATGCTTTTAGACTTAAAAATTACCAATTTTCTAGTTTGTAAATATTTTGTTTTGGTCAAGACAAGCAAAATAAGACTAAAGTGAATTCGTTAAAACAAGCAAAATAAGACAAGCAAAGATTTCAATAATTCTATGTTAATACGATTAACATCCCCATCTAGCTTTATCGATATCCTTTTATCGCATCTTAACGCTTGAGCTTTTGGTTAAGTTGTGACAATCCGCAAAGGGAACCAAAACAACATGCCCCGACATTAGTGTGGCGTATAAGTTAGTGTACAACTTGAGAGTAAGCACATTTAGCAAAATAAGTAATCAATGATTACGTCATTCAGCGAAGAGCAAACTCACAGATTTGTTATCAGTTTCCAACAAAGAGTCTCTTCTCTTGGGCCTTTTTAAGCACTTTAGAATATCACCTGTTTGTACATAGCGCACCGCGTCCGGTTTGGAAAAAAATACATACCCACTGACCGGATCTACATAATGCTGTTCAACAAACGCAAATCAGATTCATACACACAATTAAAAAACCTATGCTTAGACAAGGATTAGATTGCAAGTGAATTGCTTTTTCTAATGCATTATGTCCTAGTTGTGTATATACTCCCTCTTTCCCAAAATGCTTCATTCGTTTGGCTTTTAAGAAGTTCAGGATAAATTGCCAAAAAATAAAAAGTCTATACTTAGCATTCATTTAGAAATCCTACGAGTCACATGTTCATTACTAAAAAAGGGAAAAAAAAAAAAGTGAGAAGTGGTTTTGGGACTTCTAAAAAGGGAAAAGCAGTAAAGTGTTTTGGGACGGAGGGGGGATGATTCAAATCATGTATTATGACCAGTTTCAAAACTAGAAACATGCATATTTCTAAGCTAAGAAAACATCAAATTCATGTTAATAGTTTTCAAAAAATTCAAAAACTGAAAACACAAACAATGACTTTTCCTTTTCTCCATAGGAGTTCTTTTCGTCTCATTTTCGTTCAAGTTTTAGCTCAAGACTTTTCAGTTTAAATTACAACTAACTTCTAGTTCACTTGAATTGAGTACACGTTAGTACCGTACATTTCATTAAAAAAGGAACGGAATCAAGACCCAGACCTGCCTATTTCCACTTAGATTCAGCTTTGATTGATCACCAACTAGATGTCAATCCAATGCCCCAAGCATTTTATAAACATTGGTACAAATGAATTCTTTTGAAGTGACGAACGAAAAAGGGAGTGAAAATTTTTTCAAAACAAATATGGGGAGAAATTTCCAAAACAAAACAAAAACATTTTTCCACATTAAAAGCAAAGAAATGACTGAATGCAAGCAATAATTATCAAAGAAAATGAAAACAAAAGACTTACCCACACACCCAGAACAGCCAAATCAATCCAAAGTTAAAAAATTTCTCTTCAATTTCTCTCAACTTAAAAAAGTTTCTTTTGAGTAAATGTCAAAGCTACCAATCAATCACTTCTAATCATAAGGTCTGAGAGGCTGAATCTTCGAATTATATCCACAAAGGGTCAGTTAAAAATCACTAGAAATGAGCAAAAGGGGTGTGATTACCTTGACATTTCTGCCCTTTATGACTTTTACATACTCGGACCAGCCGGAAGGAAGAGTCTCCGGCGACTTCCCGGCTACCATCTTTGCCGGAACTTCTAGATTCAGCCCAGGAAAGCGGTCAGACGGTTGAGCTGGGACATGGGTCAAAGGCTAAAAAGGATAAGATTAGATTTCAGAAATTTCACTCGTTCGCTGGCATATTTTGTTAATTGTTATTATCAACCCTGCAGTTTGGCCCAATTACATCTTTAACCTTGATAAAAAAACATTTTAATTACACCCTTTTAAGTACGAAGTACTCCGTATTTCTTTTATTTTAAATTTACTTTATAGTTTGACTTTTACTTTTTGTTAAAAATAGAATTTTGTTTTGTACTCCGTAGCTCTCTTAAAAGTGAAAGAAAGAATGTCAACTACGGAGTATAAAACTTTTTTCTCTAAAAATAAATCAGATGTAAAAAAAAAAGTGAAAAGGTTTAGAATGATAGGTTGCATCCAAATTCAAAACTCATGTTTGTATTCCAGAGTTCGTGTGGAAGAGGTAAATTATCTAATATGCCTACACAATTTATTAAATTAATTATATCACGAGTACCGACAACAATAAAGTAAACTATAATAAAATATGAAAGTTTAGTGATTAAAAAGACAACAACAACAACATTCCAGTTGAATCTCACTACAATAGAATCTGGGGAAGTGATTAAAAACAAGTACTCATCTATAAGATAAGGAGTATTATTATGGAGCTCATAGCTTTATGTAACTTTTTTCATGGGGTTATTACCCCTAAGGTCGTGCGGTGTGGTTTCGTCGGTGTCAACTAGCCACCTCATGCCACGTCGTTATCAGGTTGGAGAGCCGAAAGAGAGAAGAAGAGAATGGTGTGGGTGGGGGAGCTTCAGGAAGTAGAGAAGAAAAAAAGGATTGAAAAAAAAGGGAGGTAAACGCGAAGTGTGAGATAAATGAATAAGCCCCAAACATATGGTAATTTTTTTCAAGACAAGTGATGAGTTATGAAGTGATCATTTATAACTTATTCATATAAAATGATGCTCCACTCAATTCTACATTTAAAAATATGATAATTTTTTTGAAGACACGTGATTAGTTATGAAGTGACCATTTATAACTTATTTTCATACAAAATGATACTCCAAACAAATGAGACAATTCTAAAAAAGGATTAGTCGCATGCTAGAGGGCCCTCTCAGGCCCTGCCGGACGGTCACTGAGAAGAGATAAATTGAATTTTGATCACATATTGGTAGTAAAGAATGGGGCATTCAACTGGTATTCAACTGGTGCTTGCAGAGGCTCTATGCTTAACATAGTTGCCAAGAATCGAACTCGGGTCTTACCCCCTTAGCACATCTTGCCTTTGTGAACTGCACAACGCCCACCGACATAATCCAGTCAATTTTACATTTTATAAGATCGTGACAATCTTGATTCTTGATTATTAAGTAATGAATTCATTATCGGGATACAACTCTAAGGTAGAATCTAAAACTCATGAGCATGGAGCATGCCCTCCGTCCTAATTTAAATTATCTGTTGTAATTTATGATACTCCCTCCGTCCATTTTTAATGTTCAGAGTTTGACCGGGCACGGAGATTAAGAAATGTTAAATTTTACATTGACTTTTCAATTATGCCCTCCCCACTGTCACCCACTACCCACTTCCTCAATGTCCGATCGGACATCTTCAACCGCCGGCAATGCCCCGCCGCATAGCCCTATCATTCCAAAATCAAAGAGCAAGAATAGTACCACGGATCTTCCCAAGAGAATTTCCCCTTGATTTTGTGGTCCATTTTTTATGATTCTTGGTTCCTTGGATTCGCATATCCATGTAGAAGACTAATTTCAGCTCAATCTCGAAGATTTGTGGAGGAATTCAACTCAATTGAAGGTCAACCCTAGCGCAGACACTGTTCACAGCGGCACTTGCAGGGCTGAATTCCTTCGGTTTGCAGCTGTTTTGAACTCCATTTTTTGAGGTATTGTGAGCGACTTGGAGTGCCTAATCACATTCTTAAGTTTGTGGAGCAATTCCAACAAGAATTTGTGATTTTTGGCTCAAATTGGAATTTCGGGTACTGTATCCATCACATAGATCTGAATTATATTTTTAAGAT